ACCGTTCCGTTGAAGGTGAAGAACGTAACCAGACAAACCCTTAACAAGTCCACGAGGTCCTGAGGTCTTAAACGGTCCTGATGTTGTCCAAGGCCCTTACGCTCGAGTAGGTCACTAACCGTCCGAATGGCTAACTCCTGAGGTATGGAAGTGAAGAGGGAGACCACATCAAATGATATCATCACCTCATCCACTTCCATCCTCAAGGGTTTAATCTTTGCGAGGAAGTCCTCAGCTGACCTGACGGTGGTAGTGCTGTCCTCGACTAAGTAGCCGATATAGTTCATAATACTGTATGTCATTTTAGCAGTGGCCAAAGACTTTCCATCTTTTTCAGATTTTTCTCACTTTTACATTATTTCATGCTTTTTTTAAAATTGTAACATGCTTCTCAAATTTGCTTTGGTCTCATTTTGCACACTGGGTTGTTTCATGTGTCAGCTTCTGTAAGTTTTGTGCACATTTTTCACATTTATCTGCTCTCTCTACTCCCTTTTTTATTACTATAGTATGAGCACAAGATAGAGACTGAAGATATCTATTGTCATTTTCAACTAACTTGAATCAAACTATAGTTCTGAACCTGATTTATTTCCTTAAAACATACTGACAAGCAAAAGTTTTAAATATTTTGTTGCAGTTGTTGTTTTTGTTTTGCTGAGTGATTTCGTTGCTTTTTTCTTAGGGCAAAGAGAGAAAGCGATTGGTTAAAGTCACCCAGTTAGGATCAGACTGCAATATGTCTCAGTTTCTGGCCTACTATATCAGTCATTAGCTCTTCTTAAATCAAGTAGTGCAACTGAAGTAAAATCAATATTTTCATTCCAGTGGAATGGGGAAGAAAGCATTGGACACTCAAAAATTGCCAGTGGATATTTAGACTAATATTCAAGCAAAGTTTTCTAAAATTAATATTCAAATATTATATTTGTAACAATGAGAAATGAAAGCTTCTCTTTTGTTTTGTATTTTTATTAACATTTAATTATGAGCAATATAAACAATGCTTTTCATTCATACAGTTTCATCATTGTGTTTATATGTGGAACATATTTTGGAGCACACCTGGATTTTTCAATAAGCTTTCAGTTATATTCAAGGGACCAGGATGGGCACCAGGCAAGCCAAGACTTGGCCTTATTGAGGAAATTCCCGAAGTAAGTATAAATGTCCATTAAGTCTTAAGTAATTTCCAGATACTATAACCCTGGGTATTTGCAAACAAGCTGTTTTAATATGTGTGGGTTCTCTAAAAGTCAACCACTGAACTTAGTAGGGTGCATTTTCCAATATAGAGGATCAGTTTTGAGGTTTTTTTAAAAAAAGAATTAGTTGGCAGTTCTCAGCACATTTAATTGAAAAGCAATTACTTTGATTTTAATACCACTGGCGGATAAATCTATATCTTATTTATTTTAATTCTGTTTCCTAAACAGGTAGGTAAATAGATAGGACTGCTTATTTATTCTTATTTCGTATGTGGTGGGAGGTAGGATTTCATAGAATTAGAGGATTTCATAGAAACAATTCAGTGTTGTAGGCTGATAAATTTACTTGCTTTATGGACATTAAACATGATATTGGTGAAAAAGAAAGAATGAAAAAGTGGGAGAATGATTACATCTAACAATTTATAAATGTTATATAAATATGCATAACTATTGGGTGGGAGTGCGGTAGCTCACCTAGTTAGAATGCTGGTCTAACAGTCAGAAAGCCTGTGTTCAAGACCTGATTGTTGCTATGATATGGGATGAACTCTCATCATTCACTCCAGCTCCTGCCCACCTAGCAGTTCAAAAGAGTGCAAATGCGAGTAGATAAATACTTTGGTAGGCACATTAATGAGGACATGAAAGTAGCCCCCGACTGGGCACCCCCTGGCAACAATGAAGTCACCATCTAATTCAGGGGTAGTCAACCTTGGCTCTTTTATGACTCGTGGACTTCAACTCCCAGAATTCAGGAATTCTGGGAGTTGAAGTCCACAAGTCATAAAAGAGCCAAGGTTGACTACCCCTGATCTAATTCTATTAACCCAGAAGCACCTTGATGCTTCTGAAATGAAATGAGTCGATTAAAATAATAAATCAGTTAAAGATATCTCAGGGAAAATTATTTTCAATAAAGGTAAATTATCAATACAGAAATTATCAATAAAATATATGTGACAATGCAATTTAAATTACTGATTATTTTAATATAAAAACAATCTCTTTATTAACTATAGGTCACTGGGAAGGAAGTTCCTTTCAACTGCAAATTGCCAAGCTACAAGTATATCTATGTAGTAATGCATTTTGCCTTAATGGTGGTATTTTATGTTGACTTAACTACCTCCAAATATGTAAGTAAAATTAAATTTTACTTAGAAAAGCTACTTTGATTTATTGAAAAAAGAAAATTAGAATATACAAATTGTTTGCATTGCTGATAATAATTGATGAATAAAACTGAAAAAAGTTGGATAGAGTACAATATACTACTGTATCTTATGAGAAATGATTGGCTAATTATCTTTTAATATGTGTACGATTTAAATATGGCAAGAAATGGTAATTTGTATTTGTCATTTCTACAATTTTTAATCTTATGCTTTAATGTTATGTTCATCCCTTAACCAGTATAATTATGATTTCCCATAACAAATGATAAAGTAAGTATACAACCATTAATATTTAGTGGAATTTGTTCAAAGAAGTAAGAAGTGGCACATTTGTTAGCTACTTCAATCAACAACATTGTGTCCTATCTGGAAAAATCTTTTTTTTAGTTGCATTAATAAGGTGAACTGATTAAAGACATTGGAAAATTTCCTAGTTTCTCCATTAAATGTCTCTGGTGAGAATATATGGCATTTTTCATGGTGCAATAATCAGAGCTAGGGCTAGCTTATTATCAGGTGATTCATCTGTGCCCGCTATATTCATGGCTTATGCTGGTTGAACTAACTGTTCTTTTAAAATCTATAATTCAAATTATTATTTTTATAAATTTTCATAAAATGAGAATATCAAAGAAAGTGCCATGGTTCCAATAGATGAGACCAGAGGGGAAAAAAAAACTCTGAGACAATATTCTTTGTCAAAGAACACTTTAATGGCTATATAGTATTGGTACGAACAAAAGTGAAACCAAAAAGATCAATCACAATCCATTTTACCATATTTTCCCTACTTTCTGGTAATTCCACAATAAAGTCCCTAGCGATCTCTTCCCAAGGTTGGGATGGATCTGCTATTTGCTGCAATAGCCCAGGTGTTTTGCTTGGGCATCTTTTTATTGTAGCACAAGTTGCACAGCTCTTTACATAATTTTTCTTCAAACCTGGCCACCAAAATTGCCTTCTAATTAAATGTAAAGTTTTTAAGTATCCAAAGTGACTGGCTTGCTTGCTGTCATGATTGTGCTGGAGGGCCTGAATTCTAAGGGTCTCTGGTAGATACAGTTCTGACCCTTTCCAGACTAATCTGCTCCGACAAGTTAGTAGGGTCCTGTTTTCCTGGAACCAGGGATCGGTTTTCAATTCTTCTTTTAACCTTTTCGTCAGTGGGTTGTCAGGTTAAGGTGGATTTGCCCTTGGCTGCCCCACCATGTTATTTGAGAAATTGACTATGGTTGTGGGATGATGGGATTTGCAATGTCCTCACACAGCCTTTTCTACTGGGGCAGTCTGGACAGGGCATCAGCTAGGAAATTCTTTCCCCCTAGGATGTACTTTAGTGTGAAATTGAAATGGTTAAAATACTGAGCCCAGCGGACTTGTTAAGGAGACAGTTTATGGGACATTTTCAATGCCTCTAAATTCTTATGATCAGTCCACACTTCAACCGGCAAGTTGCCCCTTCGAGAAAGTGATGCCATGTGAGCAGCGCCCACCACACAGCGAAACCTCTTTCTCCCATACTGCCATCTCTGTTCAATGTCAGTTAATTTTTTGGAAGTTTAGGTGCAGGGCTGCAACTCCTCCTTCTCATTTCTTTGCAAGATAACAGCCCACAGCCACATTGCTTGCATCAGCTTGGATGATGAATTGTTCCTTGTGGTTAGGGTGTTTGAGAACAGGTTCTGCTGCAAACAGTCTCTTTAAATTCTCAAAAGCTGTTTGGCACTCTATTGACTAAGGCATGGGTTGGCAGGGTCGGGGCTTCCCCTCGTTCTTCCCTGTCTTTAATAATTCTGTAATTGGCAGAGCTATTTTGGCAAAAGAGGGAATGAATTGTCAGTAGAAGTTTGTGAATCCCAGAAAACTTTGGAGTTGTTTTTGGGTTGGGGGTGTATGCCACTCTAATACCACTTTCAGTTTGGCTGGATCCATCTCAACGCCTTCGCTGGAAATTCTATACCCCAGATAATCCAAACGGGTTCAATGGAACTCACATTTTGAGAGTTTTGCATAAACTTCCCTTCCCTGCAATGTGTCATAAATCACAATCCCCAATTAACTGCTTTGGTGGACTTTCTAGCAGAGGTTTTAGCCCGCCAAAACTTAGGTAACTTGACCTTGGTTCCCACAAAACAACTTATTGTTATATCTAAACTAAGATAATACATCTCCCCACTCCCATTACTTTGGCAACTGAAAACGAAGCGAAGATGGCTGCAGCCAAAATCGTTTGAAGGTTGACAGAAAGTGTATTAATGATACCATGGGAGGACTAATAGAATGGAAATGTCTAAAGAAAATCCAGAATAAAATGCCAGTTTTTTATTTTATGACAATGTTTGATGGTCTGGGAATCAAGGCAGACCCTTAGTGATAAACTAGTTGCACTGGATTTACCATGGTCAGATTGCTAGAATTCTTTTACCGTATTCTAACATAGCTAGCTCTAATAAGGCTCCCTTTATTTCAGTCAATTAGTTTTGAATAGTCCTGATTCATTGTCTTTGTGTAACCAAGTACTTCTATACTGCTCCATCTTTTTATGTTCTGCTCTTAAATAAGTTCTTAAGGAAACTCCTGGTGCCTCCTGTTGGGTTAAGGGCAGGGAGTCAGATATTTGGCTTACATAATTTAGTTGCTGGGATATAATCTTAGGATGGCTTATCCTGGTCAGTAATAAAAGCTCTTGATTATCAGATTATCCTGCTCTGGTTAAGAAGAACCTTGCTTGGACAGATAACATCAACCTTGCTTGGACAGATAACATCAATTTAATAGTATTGCAAAACGTAGACCAGTGATAAATACAAAGCAGGCAATAATTGTTCAAAAGAATAGTATTAGAAAATAATGGAAAAACTGCATAAGAATCAACATTTCAGCATTCTTGGCCTAGGCAAGTAATAGAGAGACAAGCTAGACAGAAATCTATGTGGCAGGAATCCTCAAAAAAATCTAGAACTATTGTGGAAATAAAGCATGTATGTGAATAATATAACTTGGCATGTATCTTCAATATCAATTTTCCACTACGATGAATTATGAAATGCCCGTAGACACAACTGGAGCTTTTTCCTTGGCTATGTCACAAATATGGCATTGGTCCATATATAGAAACAACTGTTTTCCTCATTTTTAGACATATGTTCCATTCTATAAAGCACTTGAAACAGTATATAATTTTATAATTTTCATTACTATAGTGACTTTATCTTTGCTGTTACACACAAACACATAATGTTTTTTCTGTCCATGAAGTTCCTCATCTCAGCATGAAATGTTTTTCTTGGACAAAATAAGAAACACAAAAAAAAATATTTGGATCAAACCCCCGCACACATTTGGGTAGATGATTCTTCCATAAACAGGTTTAAATAAAAGCCCAATGGAAAAAAAAACCCTCCACTGATTTCTAAAAGGATATGACTCTATTTCAAATTATATTAGATGGAAATATCTTGAAACTTAATAGTTTGAGACAGCAAGAAATGTTCAGTTTAGTTTTCTTTCAGATCTGGTTCTATGTCCTTTTTTTCTCACCAGGACCTAAATTACAATTAATTCTGATCATTTTTGGTCTTAGTAAGGGAAAGGTGGATGCTGACAATGAATCACTGGCTATGCCTGTGATATTGTTGGAAACAGTTTTGTTTCACTAAACATGGCTTGTGACACCAAAATTGCAATTGATGGTATCTAGCAGAAAAACTGGAATGGATTTATTTGGCAGGAGAAAAATAAATAAGCTAAGTATCAACTTCTTGATTTGAAAAAAAATGGAAAAATAAGAGTTATTTTATAATTCTTTACTGAATGCAAAAGTTTGGATTCTGCTTTGACTAAAACAAAACTAAAGGCAGGTAGGAGGTTAATGGATTCAAAAGCAATAAACACAGAAATGAGATAAAGCTGAAAAGCTTTATTAATCAAAGCATAATATAGATATGAAATATTTCCAAATAGGGCAATACAAGGACATATGGCAACAGTCAATAGAGTTTCTGAATTTGAAATCATAATGTTCTGATATTATTGATAAAAGGTCTGAAATAAGCATATTATCCTCTACTCATATCTTATTTAAAAATTAAAGACAAAGAAAAAAGGCCCGTATTCACCTACCTATTGGTTTACAACTTATATGAACCATGCAAAATGCAGGTTCGAGCTCCATTCTCAGCTACAGAATGAAGCTGCTCCGGCCGGGCTGGTGGTGCTGCCGCTGTGAGATGAGTGGAAAACACCACCACCCCCAAACAACATGATGCCTCTTTTGGAGGCAAAAACCCAAAAAATAAAAAAATAAGACCAGGTCTTATTTTCAGGGAAACATGGTATCATCACTTGTCTGATAACTATTTGGTAAATTTTAAATTTCAGGTATAGAGAGATTTTCTGATTGCATAGAACATCAGTAATAATGTTAATCTCTATTTAGTCATCCAGTAGTGTGTTACATTTTGAAGTCATGTTTGAACTCAGATGTTTACCCTGGGTAACATTACTGAATTTGGATCTACCTATCTTGACTATATTATTGGTCTGGACATTGTACTCAAGGTATTCAATTTTCTTAATGCTGAGCTTTAGTACAATCATGACGATGCATATCCACTCCTGTTATATAGTACAATTTAGAAGCTGTTTTGCTCATGTTCATGTTTTGCTGCTGATCATAATATCAACAGGAATATAGCATCAAAGGGTATTGTGATGGGAGGTCCCAAGGGCTATACAGGAATGAAGGCACTGATCAGAATGTGGATTCCTTATGAACACCAGTATAGATAGAAAAAGTGTTTCGGCACTGAAGGGTCCCTAGTGCTCTTTGACCTTGGTAGTTTTCTTGTAGATGTTTCATTATAAAAACTAGTTATTTATAATAATAATATTAAAGTTGGAAGGGACCTTGAAGGTCATCGAGTCCAACCCCCTGCTCAGGCAGGAAGCCCTATACCCTT